TCCTGGCCCTGCTCCAAGCGGGGTCAAGTTGAGTTACCACCGGTGAAGGAGGTAGATAAGCTGATGTGAAAAGATGAAGCAGGGGTCAGGCCAACCATGGAACCACAACATCAAAGCTGATCCCAGGGCAGAGCCTAACAGAAGGCAGGTGGGGCGAGAGGTAGGGCAAAGAGAAAGCTGAGATGAGCAGAAGCCCTAGAAGCAGGTGGATTGGTCCAGTGCTGACCTCAGGGGCCCAGGCTTAAAATCTGGGTCCTCCTTGAAATACTTGGATGATTCCTCCAGGCTTCCTCCTTCACTCCTTCACCAGGCATCTACAGTCAGGCCCCACATATCTTCCCATCTTAATTTTTGGCAACTCCTCAGCCACAAGCCTCGGGTCCCTGCACGTGGATGACTCATCACGCCCCAAGTGTGCTGGGAGCTCTCCTCCATCACACCTTCCTTAGTTGCTCCCTCTGCTTAGAAATGCCCATCCACACATTCTCTGCCCTGAAACTACTTTTTCTTTGAGGCTCAGATTAAATGCCCTTTCTTTTGTGAGGACCCGTCCAGCCCTCTCCACCAGCTGCACCTCCATGCTACAGTGGCGTCCGTTTACCTTGCTGCCATAGATGTCCTCACACCGTATCCTGAATGTCTAACGAGAACCAAGTGATCATCCATTAATTTGTTCAAGAATTTGCACTTACTCATCACCTTCAATGTACCAGCAGCTGTCCTGGGCACTGGTGACCCAAAATTGAACTACACCCCCTCAAAAAGCACAGAGTAGTCCCGGCACATAAATACACAGTTAGGATGTCATCGCCAGGGGATAAAATAATGGGGCACATGAAGGCCATGGAGAGGCAGGGAAAGAATCTAAGTTTATCAGAGCCATAAAGCTCAGTATGTCTCTCCTCTGCTTAAAATCTTCCCATAGCATCCATTTTCACTTAAACATAAATAGAAACCTTTATTTGCCTTCAAGACGCCCTCATGATCCAGCCCCTGTTTCTCTTGCCCACCTCCTAACCCTCTCCAGGGTCCAGCCCCCCAGCCTTCCACTGCTATTCAGACACAATTAGCCCTTTCTGTCTCAGGTCTGTGCGTTTGCTATTTCTCTCCTGCATCACTTTCTAGTCCCACTGCCTCCTGCCCTTCAGCCTCAGCTCAAACATCACCTCCTCCAAAAAGTCAGGGTCACCTCCCCTGACCACCCTCTCTGATGTTACCATTGGATAGCTACCGCCCTCACCCTCTCTCATGTAAATTGCCCTTGTTTGTTTTCTTGTTTGTGAATTTGCTTGTTAATGTTTCTTCCACTCAATTATCAGCTCCAAGGAAGTTTAGTTTTGTTGCTCCTAGAATAAGAGTGGAATAAAAATTTGCGGAACGATGTTGGCGTCAAATGGACCAGACGTACATGTACAGCCTATGTGACCTTCAGCAAGTTACGTATGTCACTTCCTTTAGTCTAGTCTCTTTACCTGTCAAATGCAGGTAAGAATACTTGCCTTGCAGGGTTGCTGTGAGGGTGAAGATACACTGTTCTTAAATGTCCTGGCCCACAGTACATGTTGGACAGATGCTGAGTGGTTGTACAAGAGGAAGAGAACCAGCAGTCCGCCCCTCTGAGCCCTGATACCACGGGCTCTCTGCTCTAGCTTGTTTGACTACGGATCCTCTACGAAATGGAGAGGGATTTGGGGCTCTGAGGATGAGTGTCAGTTTTAACGACAAACTCTCAGTGGAGGTCCAGACCTATATTCCCAGCTGTAAACAGTCAACTCAACTCATCAGTTCCACAGTAACCTTAAACTCAGTACGTCCAGTCCAAGCTCACTGCCTTTCCATCACTGCTCCTGCTTGGTCCTCACACATCAACACTAGCAGGCAACTAATGGTACCGGTCAGTGGGCTGGATGACTGATTCGTTGAGAAGTATCTGATAGAAAAATCGTGACCTGAACTAAAACTGAAATTGTAAGCAGCCCAAGACATTGTCCATGGACAGAGGAGGAGAGCTGGGTTCTGCCTGGAGCTTCTCGGTTGTTTCTAGAAGCTCTGGAGCAGAGGGGCCAGAGGAGAAGCCATGGCCAGGCTTTCAAGAAGGACTCACCAAGTTATCCAGTCCCTTTGCATTGAATAGTGCACACAGAGGCCCACTCACTCCGGTCAGTTTCCTACAGCTGCTGTAACAAGTTACCACAAATGCAATGGCTTAGAACAACATAAATTTATTATTTTACAGTTCTGGAGGTCAGAAGTCTGAAATGGTTTTCACTGGGCTCAAGTCAAGTTGTTGGCATGGCTGTGCTCCTCCTGGAGGCTCTACGGGAGAACCCATTTCCTGCCCTTCTCCAGCTTCTAGGGACCACCTGCATTCCTTGGCTCACAGCCCCTTCCTCCATCTTCAAAGTAAGCGGTATAGCATCTTCCCATCTCCCTCTGACTCTCAGCCTCCCGCCTCCCTCATAGGAGGACCCTGGTGTTTGATTACCTTGGGCCCACTGGGATACTACAGGATAGACCAGCCTTAATCACATTTGTGAAGTCCCTTCTGCCGTGTAAGGTAACATATTCACAGGTTCTGCGACCAGGATGTGGACATCTTTGGGGGGTGTTATTATTCTGCCTCCCACAGACCCCGAGCAGAATGAGCTTGGTTTGGGGGTGCCAGGCCGGAACCCAGCTTCCTGCCTCTCTACCGACTCTGTTCAAAGTAGAGCTCAGTGCAGGCTGAGGGCTCACTCTCCTTGGTGAGTCGTACAGGCTCTTGGGGCTCAGCTGAGCCACAGAGAAACCAGTCAGGTCAGGAAGCAGCCTCCAGCCTGAAGGCGGCTGTTGGATAAGATTGCTGATTGCGTGTCAGCCCTCGAGGCCTCTGGGGCTTGGCCAACAAGGGACCTGAGACGGTGGCTCTTTCCCCAGGGAATTGCCCTCTGAAGGTTCTGGAGGCAAGGGTCTGGCTGCTGGGTGCAGGGAAAGAGGGTGGAAACCTCAGCAGGAGGGATGTGTGGACCTGGCCAGAACCCACAGATGAGCACAGAGAAGCCAGAGCACCCTGGAGGCCAAGCCAGGTCTGCAGGGGCCCCCAAAACAGGGTGCGGTCTCTCACCTCCAGCTGCAGGGAAGGCCCCTCCCCTGTCTCCACACGTTCCAGGCAACGACTGCCTCCCTGGATCCCCAGGAAGACGGGGAAACTGGTGTGGCCCAGGCCTCTGTTGGGGAGTATGCAGATCATCTCTGGGGTGGGGCGGGGGGAGGAGAAAAGAGAGCCAGGAGATGAGGGGACCCCAGATCACAAGCTCTTCAACAAGCTAAGGCTCGAACAGGAAGGAGCTGGGCCAGGGCACAGCTGGCCGCACCCCTGCATGCACGCTGCAGGGTGAGCTGGGACTCCTACAGGGGTCCTGACCCTTCAGTAGGAAAGGGAGAGCTTGGGGTAGACGGAGCTTGGGTGAGTCCCAGGGCGTCGAGGCCCCAGATGCTCCTGCACGGCAGTTGTCTGCGGCGGGATCCCCCACCAGGAGGTGGCGGTCTCTCGTGCACAGAGCCTTCTGATCTGCGTCCTTAATTCTGAAACAGGAGGCAGTGCTGGTGGCCCGCCCCCTTCAGGCACCCCTGAGCCCCACGGCCCTCCCACCCCACACTCTGAAGGACAGCATGGAGAACTAGGGCCTCTTCTCCTTCTTCAGGTGAGAAGTAGGGGTGCTACTCCACCCAAGAGCATGTCCAGACCAGGTCAGGGGCTTCCCTGGTGGCGCAGTGGTTGAGAGTCCACCTGTCGATGCACGGGACACGGGTTTGTGCCCCGGTCCGGAAGATCCCACGTGCCGCGGAGCGGCTGCGCCCGTGAGCCATGGCCACTGAGCCTGCGCGTCCGGAGCCTGTGCTCCGCAACGAGAGAGGCCACAACAGTGAGAGGCCCGCATAACGCAAAAAACAAAACAAAACAAAGACCAGGTCAGCCTTAGGCGAAGGAAGTCCTCCCAGTCCACCTCTGTCTCTACCAAGCTTGGCCCCTGTCAGGCCCTCAGGGTGGTGACCGGAGCCTGCGTCTTCCCACTGAAGGGTAGAGTTTTCCTGACGCTCCAGCCCTTTTCCATGCCTCCCCTGAGAAATTTCCCAACGAGGTTCCGATGTCTCTGGGATGTGGTGAGACTTCTCCCAGATTTTCTGGGCCCACCCAATTTTTCATATGTTTATTCTCTTCAGTAAAGGGATTAATTGAGTATATAATAACGTGTGGTTTGTTTTTCAGATATTTTAAAGGCTTTTTATAGAAGAAAATCCACAAATGAGGGGGGAAAAAAGTCCGATGTGATGGTAAGCATGCCAGCCTGGCCGCCCTGCTCCGGTGAGTGTGTAAGGGCTGGGCTGGGCGGGGCGGGGCTATGGATGCCAAATACAGGTGGTCAGCAGGGAGCTGGCCCTGGGATTGCCTGTGGTTCTGACGATCAGCCTGGGAGGGTAAACGCATGCCAGGGAGGCTGAGAAGGAACCGTGGTGAGGCTGTGCAGCCTCAAAGCCACGCCCACGCTATTAGCCCATGGCTGGTTGGTTTCAGACATGGTCCTCAGCTGCTCTCAGGCCTGGGGAGCCCTCCTTATATTCAAGAGCAGAACCTCCTGGCCAACACCACACTTCCAGGAGATTCTTCTCTCTCAGTAACAGCTAATGATAATACCCTTAGCCAATGACTGTATGTGTTTAAAGCAGGTTCCCCTGTACAATAAAAACGAAGATCTGAAAAGAGCCTGGGTTTGCCAGCTGGCCTTCTCCCTCCAACCTGGACAACCAAGAACTGTGGATAACTTAGCTGTCAGCAATATTCTGTTCAGAGACCAGAACCCAGGCTAGATACCCCAGAGAGTTGACATCTGTTTTGTCATCTGCGTGGTCCATGCACTTGTGTCTTGTCTTCCCAGCTACGTTGTACCTTCCCAGAGGCCCTGACCGGCCCCCCATGTCTAGGGTAGGATGGGCCCACGGAGAAGCTGAGGAAATGCATCCCAGGTGTCAATCCTATTTTATTTTTATCATGCCTTAACTCATTCCTCGAAGAGCTTGAGATGATTTACAACAAAAATCACAGACAATAAAGTGGTAAACTAAAAGTAAAGACTCAAATGTCAAGTGAGATAAAATGCAGGTAAGAGTTGGAAGCCCAGACTGGGAATAGAGGCCACAGAGGCTAACATACAAAGATGCTGTCACTGAGATTTAAAATTATCTCTGAGCTTTTAGAGAATGGAGGCCGGAGCAGCACAGAGAACCTGGAGTCTGAGTCCTGGCGCTGTGTGACATTAGGTACTTTCTAACCTCTTTGAGCCTCAGTTTCCAAATCTATAAAATGGGCTTAGTAATGCCCCCTTTGTAGATTTCTCAGGATGGAGGCAGGGCAGTAGAATGGCTGGCATCTTGCAGAAGTTCAGGAAAGAAAGCTTTTGTGATTATGATGATGATTAAGCTTAATTATGGGGCACTTGAGATTTCTGGGGTGAGAAGGAGACTGATTCAGCCCTCTTTCCTCTTCCTCTGTCATCTCCAGACCCCCTGATTAGGAAAAGGAAGACTCCAGGAAGACTTACATGTAGTATTTTGCCATGGGGAGGAAGCACATTCCTGCAATCAGGGGTGACTGGTCCTTGCTGAGAGGGAAGGAAAAAAAGGGCCGTCAGAGGATGAATGGATAAAGAAGATGTGGCATATATACACGATGGAATATTACTCAGCCATAAAAAATAATGCCATTTGCAGCAACATGGATGGACCCAGAGATTATACTAAGTGAAGTAAGCCAGACGGAGAAAGACAAATATCATATAATATCACTTATATGTGGAATATTAAAAATTGTTAAAAGTGAACTTATTTACAAAACAGAAATAGACTCACAAACATGGAAAACAAACTTACGGTTACCAAAGGGGAAAGGAGGGGCATAAATTAGGAGTTTGGGATTAAGATACACACACTAATATATATAAAACAGATGGATAACCAACAAGGACCTACTGTATAGGACAGGGAACTATACTCAATATCTTGTAATCACCTATAATGGAAAAGAATCTAAAAAAGAATCCCTTTGTTGTACACCTGAAACTAACACAACATTGTAAGTCAACTATATTTCAATGAAATTTTTTTTTAAAAAGAATGGCTGTAATTTAAAAAAAAGGGGGGGCTGTCAGAGAAAGAAGTGGGTGGAGCTAGGGAGCAGACATCCCAAGGAGCCAAATTACCCAATCACAGGGTGGAAAGTTCTCACTAGGTGCTTATCTACCAGAACCCACCAAGGGCTCCTCAGCCCAGCAGGATCCAGACAGCTCTGAGTTTCCCTCACTTGGGGCCACCCGAGTCGAGCTGGCAGGGGTGTGAACTTGACTGTGCACTGGTGCCGCCGGTTCTGGGAAACAGGAAGACAGGTTTCCCAAAGAGTTCAGCCAGGAGCCCTTCCTGGGGCTCAGACTGGGGTGGGGTGTGCTCTAGCCTCACAGTTTAAGGAAGAACCTGACTGACATCCTGTCCCACTCCCAGCCTGGCCTTAGAGTCACCACCTCCCCCTGCCTCCTCTGGACAACGCTACCTCCCGCCTGCAGCCAGGACGGGGTCTCTCTGCAGTTAGAGAGTGTCGTTCTGGGGACTGGATCGCTTTGCCAAGACTGTGATCTGTGAGAGACCATGCACACTCCCCTGTTCTGTTCCAGATGGAAAACAGCACAGGTTTGAGATACACAGACTTGCGTTTTTGAGGAGGAATGATCTAAAAACTGAAGCCAGCGTTCCTGTACAGACCCTAAACCACAGAGCTGCACATGGCTCCACTCATTCCGGTTGGATTATCCATCCCTAGAGCGTTTCCCTGAAATGACCACCTTCAGAAAGGCCATTCCAGAATCCAGCATGGAAAGAAACCCAGAGCCAATCAGGGCATGAGGGTGGTAGGACTTGGAGAATAGCCCAGAAAAGTAAAAGCAAGGATGGCTAGGGCTGATTCTCTCACCAAGGAAGAAGGGAAAGAGAAGAGAAAAGATAAGAAAGCAGAAAAGAAGAGGAAATAGGAGAAAGGTAGGAATGAGGAAGCAGGGCTCAGAGCAGGAGAGAGTGACACTGAGGGACATTTTGGGAAGCAGGTAAGGAGAAGCAGATTGATGCTGATGGGAGGACTTCCGGCCATCTCAGCATCCCTGAGCAACATGGCCTGGATCTTAGAAGAAGGACTTAGCCAAGGTGGCTTTTAGTACTGGATCTGCCACTTGATCACCTTGGACAAGTCATTTCCTAATCCTTGGCTTTGCAGTGAGAGTTTAAGGGTTGGTGAGAGCAAAGGATCGCAGGAGTACAAATTCTGGATGGATGTTGGTGATGTGAATCAGAGTCTTAAAGCATTCGATGTACTTTGTAATTTCATCTGTTGCCCTTATTCTATGGGAAAATAAGGAATTGCCCAAATGTTTAATAATAAAGATGTTCACGGCATCATTTTTTATAATAACAAGAAGCTGAAAATAATCTACCTGCACAATAATAGGTGACTGGTTAAAAAATTATGGTAAATAAGAAAGTATGTGTACATTAAAGACGATGTATAAAAACATTTTATGATATAAAAATGGTCAAAATACATTAAGTGAAAAGCACAGGTTATAAATAAAGTGTGCATTATGATTCCATTTAAATCTGCCCACATACATAGAAACAAAGATGTTCGACACTTTACAGCACTTATCTATGGCTGACAAGATTATGGGTGATTTTTGTTTAGTTACTTTATCATTTCAACAGTTTTCCTTATATGAAAATAAATTTCCTTTGTAGTATATGGTAAGTTTTAATTTTTTTTTTTAATGAAGCGTTCAATTACAGTCGTTGGCTTTCCAAAATGTGCCTGCCCATAGAATCACCTGGGGGACTCTTGAGAAGTACTATTCCCTGGACTGAAGGTTCTTGAATGACTCAGTGATCAACTGGTCTTGGGAACTTATACACTAGCTCAGTTCTTCTCACTCTCTAATAAACGTGTAAATCACCTGCAGCTCTTGTTAAAATACAGATTCTGATTGCCTAGGTCTGGGGTGGGACCTAAGACTGTGTTTCAAACATGCAACCAAATTACATTAATGTTGCTGGTCCCTGGACCACACTTTTAGTAACAAAGGACCAGATGATCCCCCAGCCCTGATAGGTCGACAGCAGCATGGCTTCCATGCACGCCCATGTGAGTGAGATGCTGTGCTCTCCCTTGGCCAGGCTACTGGGGCTTCTTTGGTTGGAGCAGCAGAAATATGGCCAGCCTAGCAGTTGCGCCAAGGGCTGGCCGGAGCAGACAAAGTGGAGGGTCCCTGTGTAAAGCTGGATAGGCAAGCTGATGACTCCCACTCTTGGTCCGTGTCAGCTCAAAGAGCTGGCAGAAATTCAGGACTGATCAAGTCCAGCTGGATCGCTGGGGTCCTGTTGTCCTGGTCCAGCCCCAAATTCCAGTGTCTCTCCTACAGACTCCCATATCAGGAACCCCTGCCTGGGGTCCTGGTATAGATTGTGATGAAGTGAGGATCGTGTAGGAGTGAGAAACTGACTTCTAGTCCATCAGAGAGCCTGGGCTCCTGGTTTTGAGTGTTTGCCATGATCCCTCCCAGTGCACCACAAACTCCATTCCCCAAGTTTTCCCTTCCCTATTGTCCCCAAGTGACCTTTCACTGGACTTTGGTCTATACCCCTCTCTGGACCCCATCCTTGGCTGTCTCAGACCTCATCAATTCACCTATCCTGGGTCAAATACCACCACCCAATAGCCCTGGGCTTCCCCATGCTCTTTTGCACATCACACCTGTTCCAGCCTCTCCTTCATCCTCCTACACACTATCTCCATGGAATCTGTTCCCTCCAAGACAAATATTAACTTCTGTGGAGCCAAATCCGAAGATTTTTTTTTTTGATTCCTCTGATCTTTGGCCATTGTCCCCCTGGGACCCCTTGATATTGATTCACACCTCTCCATTCTCCTCAGATGCATTGTAGATTCTCCCTTTGTTTGGGGGTCACCCCTAAACCTGGAAGTCACCAGCCAAGGTCCTAAGCTCTTCTCTTTCATATCACATGAAGCTGCAATCCATCCATTTCCTCAGCTGCAAGATCATCTTTCTCTAATGCCTTCCAAGTCCAGACTGAACATCCTCCTTTATCTCCAACAGCCTACAGGACACCACCCTTTGGATATCCTGCCATCACACCCAACCAAATTCATCTAAGGTCAAATTCACCTTCTCCTCCCAGCTCATTCATCCCTCCTGGTTTCATTTCTCTCACTGCCATAATCTTCCTCTAGACAGGTAGGTTCAAATCCTGAGAACTGTTGACAATTTCTCCCACTTTTCCTGACTCTATGTCAGATTTATCAAGTCCCAATAAATAAATTCCTTAAAATATAACTTTGTTTTCTTCATAACCATTGAAACTGCACCTGTATTCCTGGTTTCTCTACCTTCAATCCAGCCCAACCTATGTGAGGTTCCTGGACTTGTATTCTAAGTACTGCTTTCATCACATCCCCATCCAGCTCTAGAATCCACATGGGCTTTCCATTGTATGATATACTTATCTTAAGTGTATCTCACTTCTCCGTGGACACTAAACCACCTCCCAGGCAATGAGACTTCTTTCTTATCTTCTCGGTAGGCATACTCAAAGTTATCTTTCGGGCTTCCCTGGTGGCGCAGTGGTTGAGAGTCCGCCTGCCGATGCAGGGGACACGGGTTCGTGCCCCGGTCCGGGAAGATCCCACATGCCACGGAGCGGCTGGGCCCGTGAGCCATGGCCACTGAGCCTGCGCGTCCGGAGCCTGTGCTCCGCAATGGGAGAGGCCACAACAGTGAAAGTTATCTTTCATTTCCCGACCTCATCATTGTCCATTCAAATCTTTGACATTAAGGTCACTGAACATGGCATTATTATCTATAGGTTGAGTATCTAGTTCTGCCAAGTTAATTATCAGCTCAGAGAAACAGCTCAGACATACAAGTTCATGTCACTTACCCTCCAATCTTCAGTTTTCAGCATCTATAAAATCATGGAGTTAGAGGATGTGGTTATTAAGATTCTTTCAAGATCAAACAATCAATGATTCCGTGACTCAGAGTTTAAAGACTCTTTACCATGGCAAACTTACTCTGAAGTCCCATTAAATTTCAATGTGTTATTTATTGTTTTATGTATAGACACTTTTTCCCTTATAAAAAGTTAACAAGTTCTTGAAGACACAAAGCATAGCTTGTAGCTCTCTCCATCTGCCCCCACTGAGACACACTGGTGCTCATGAGCAGGACATAGAAACACTCACCGCAGATTCGGACGGCAAGGTTGGTTCCAGACCTAACTCTGCTACCAATTTATTTTGTCACCTTGGAAAATTCCTTTATTCCCTAGACCTCCAAATCCTTATCATTGGAATGAGGGGTTGGGCAAGGTCAATATTTTTCAAAACTATTTTAGGTTTCACAAGGAAATTTTAAACAGACACTAATGAAAGTTAAATGGATGAAAGACACCTGCTTTTGCAGAAGCAGAGAATGATGGTGACACCAGGACCCAGCTAGCATCGACTACTGAAGCAGGCACTGGGTGTGTATGTCAATCCCAATCTCCCAATTTATCCCTCCCCCCTTTCGCCCTTGGTAACTAAACACTCTACTATATATAAAATAGATAATAAGAACTTACTGATAGCACAGGGAACTCTACTTAATACTCTGTAATGACCTATATGGGAAAAGAATCTATAAAAGAGTGGATGTATACATCTAAAAAGATGTATATGTATAACTCACTTTGCTGTACAGCAGAAACTAACACAAAAACATAAATCAACTATATTTCAATAAAAATTACTTTAAATTTTTTAAAAATAAAACTAAAATAATGTACACTGCAAAAAAACCCAAAAAAACAAAAAGGCACTGGGGCATCTCTAAGGAACCTCAAGCTTCATAAAACATTGTTGAATACCACTGGCCTAGATGAGTTCTTCTGAAATTACTTTCTAAAACCGGTGGTCCTAAATATTTAAAAATCTTGACTTAACCTATACCTTCTCCTCAAATTCCTTCTATGTGACCCTAGACTTATTTAGCATCCCATGGTGATCTAGGTAGGGGATACCTTGCTAACTAGAGAGCTTGCCAGGAGGAGTTAAAAAGAGGGGGCGTATCAGAGCTATTGACAGAGGGAGAAGAAAACAGAGAAAGATAGAATACTGCCGGTCCACCACTGACCTGCAGATCCCAAGTGCCTGGAACCTCCAACTGATTTCTCCAGGGCATGTGCACTGAGTTTATATTGCCTGGTCAGGGTGGGTAAGCCTGTAGCAATCTTTATAATTGTCTCCAGGATGGGGAAGAAGGGCCTAGGGATTTCACAATGTCTTCAGCACAGTATGGATAATAAGGAGGTGGGGAACAGCAATGTGTGTTTGTTGAAAGGGGAGAGAGTCACCCATAAAGCCTTGGCAAAAGCCAGACACTGGGACTCTGCTCATAGCTATTGTTCTGGGTGGTTTTGGCAGCCAGATAAATGATGCTGGGGTCAGACGACTTTATATCACCTTCCCTTTGGTGCCCCATGGGGCTCCATCCTAGCCATACGGAGGTGGAAGAAGCAAGAGCGAGTGTTTCTGAAGGGCCTAAGGACAGACTTTTTTCTGTAGCCAGGCTGTGGCCAGTGAGGCAGTGTGAGAACAGGGACTGATGGCATTGTGAGTATGACCCTGTTTGGAATTATGAGAGGACCGTCTCTGTTTTTCAACAGGTTCTATTAGTTGGTACCAGTTGATGAGATGTAATGTCTATGGAAACCCACTACAGACAGAAGACGTTGACCTTAGATTCATCCTGGAACTGAGCAGGTGCCCTTTGCCCTGGACTATGAGAGCATCTGGCTCAGTGTGATCAGGGTTAGGGGTGAAAAACACTCAGGCCTCTGATTGATATTACTTAATTCAGTCCATCCATCCACCCATCAGTCCATCGACCCATCCATCCAACCATCCATCCACCCATCCCTCCATCAGTCCATTAACCCATCCATCCATCCATCTGTCAGTACACCTACCCACCCACACATCCATCCTTCTATCTATCTATCCATTCCTCCATCCCTCCATTCATCCACCTACTCACAAGGGGCAGAGACACTTGGGCATAGTGCCCAACATAGACCAACTGCCTTATGGTAATTCTTGCTCACAGGTCATTTGCAATGTTCCATAAAAGGCTTGGCAAGGATGTGGGAGAGGTCAGTCCTATACCCATATGTCTGCAGAGTGACGGATGAGAAAAGATGGGCAGAGATGGGAACAGATTTCTGTTTTCTAAGGCCAACAGTCATTCTTCACTCCCTTTCCCAATCTCTTGTCCCCTCAGTGGAGGAGGTCAAAGTACAGGGTATTATATAGGCAATCAATGAGTGCTTACTGAGCATTGACAATGCCCTGTGACAAAGGCATACAACACCTGGTCCCTGTTGTTAAGTAGCTTTACAGTCTGGCTGGGGGCTAAGCCATAAGCACTTGAAAAGACCAGACTCTCTAATCTGTGGGCCAAGGGAATATTGGAGACAATAGAAACCGAGAACCTTCTCGAGTAAAAAGATAAATTCCTAGAATTGAAAGGGCCTTAGCCCTTTACATGGTTCCTCATTTTTTTTTAAGATATTTATTTATTTTGGCTATGCTGGGTCTTAGTTTCAGCACGCAGCATCTTCTTTGCGGCACGCAGGATCCTTTTTGGTTACGGCATACGGGATCTAGTTCCCTGACCTTGATCCCTGGTCAGGGAACTAGATCCCGCATACCGCAACCAAAAAAGATCCTGCGTTGGGAACTCAGAGTCTTATCCGCTGGACCGCCAGAGAGGTCCCTGTTCCTCCCTTTTCATCTACTTGTGTCAGCTCGTCCCTGCTAAAGCCCTTTTGAATTCTTTAATCCTACAAATGATGAAGCAATCACTTGAGGCTGCAGAAAGCTTCAGGAATGAGGTGAAATTTCAGCCGCTCCCTGCCAGGTGGGCGGAGGAGAGAGAAAGAATATTCCAAGGTGGAGGAATCGTTTCCACATTCAACACTCACTGGATCTCGATTATTTGCCAAACATTATTCGAGGTGCTCGGAAGCAAAACTGATACAGCCTTGACCTGGAGGTGATTTTAGGGGCCTCAGACCCCAGGTCAATTTATTACAAGGAGGGGGAGTTAGCATAGAGTGAAGCACAAAGCCCTGTCAGAGCAGATGACCAGGGACCTCCACTCAGCAAAGGCTCCTCAGAGGAGGTGACAATATGAGGCTGCGGCCGGGCCTGTGGGCAGAAGGAGAGCGTGAACTAGGTCTGTTCTCGGCAGCCCTGAGAGGCCTGTGGTAGCAGCTGTGCTGCCTGCTGCCCAGGGACTTGAGCTGCTTCTGGGCTGGAGCCGCTGCAGTCCCCAGAGGCAGACGCTATGGCCTGGCCTCTCCCTTGCTGGTCTTTCAGCAGAAGGTGAACCTGCCAGGCTGGTCTGACTGGTGAGGCACAGATGGAACTCCTGGTGCTCCGACTTGAGCCCCTCCTCTGGCTTCCGCTCTCATTCCCCAGACTTTAGGCAGGGACCCTGGAGTCACAGTCCCTGGCACGTATGTCTGAAGGTGCAAAGGTAGTCAAGGAAGATCTAAACCTTGTGGGAACAGAGAATATTCAACCAATTTGGTACGATCCGCTTTTAAATCAGATGTTTGGGGAAATAAAAGGGTTGGTGCTCATTTTGAGAGGGAAAATAAAAGTCATGGAGAAAATTGCAATCATAATAAAATAACTAATTTGTTTCTCTTCCCCTGCATAGTAGTTATCTATTGCTGCGTAACGAGTGACCCCAAACTTTAACAACTTAATGCAGGAACACTTAACTTTCTCCAAGTTTCTGAGGGTTGGGACTCTAGAGCAGTTTAGCTGGGTGATTCTCTTCAGAGTCTCTCACTAGGTTGCAGTCAGCCAGGGCCGCATCGCCCGAAGGCTTGCCTGGGCTGGAGGAGCTGCCTCTAAGCTCCTTGGTGTGGCAGTTGTCAAGAGGCTTCATTTTTCACCAATGGGTCTCCTTACAGAGCAGCTCACACATGGTACCTGGCTTCCCCCAGAGCAAGTGAATAAAGAAACAGAGACCAAGATAGAAGCCACAGTGTCTTTTATTACCTAATCTCAGAAGCGGCATAACATCACTTCTGCGGCATTCTATCGGTCATGGAGACAACTCTGGTCCCGTGTGGGCGGGGGCACACAGGGGGTGTGAATACCAAGAGATGGGGATCATTGGCTGCTGTCTTCATTCCTTGGGGCTGCCCTAACCAATTACCACAAACTTGGTGGCTTCAAACCACAGAAATTTATTCTCGCGCAGTTCAGGAGATTCGAAGGCTCCCGAGCTCCCTCCGAAGGCTCTGCGGAAGAACCTGCCTCCTCGCTTCTGATGGTGCCCCAATCACTGGCACACCTTGCCTGGTGGCACTCTCCTCAGCCTCCATCTTCTCATGGCCTCCTTCTCTGGGTTTCTTTCTTCTTACAAGGACAGAAGTCCTGCTGGACTTAGGGTTCACCCTCATACAGCATGACCTCTTAACTAATTGCATCTACAAAGACCCTACCTCCAAACAAGGTGTGAATGAAAAATATTGCCTGCCATTTCAGTAAACAAAGGATGTGGCAACCATCGAGCCATCACATTACAGCTTCCCCCAATGGTGAGGTCTGAGGGAACTCAGGATGGAAACAGAGTGCCCATAGCTGCAGCCACCCACCACAGTGCATCCTGAGGAAACCCCGGATGAGAAAACACAGGATACTGGCCCCAGATAGCTGAGGTGCCTATCAAAGGAAAGATTCCAGTGAGCCCAGAATCTTGCATCTTCCCATACATAGAAAAGCGCGGAATTCCTTAACTTGAGATGTCTGACTGTCTTAAATTAACAATCATCTTTGATGTTCCGAATACCTGGTCTTTGTTGCAAAAACTCCTATATATCCCGGCTTCCCGCTTGCCTCTTTGGAGCAGTCCCTTAGAGTTATCTGAGAGGCTGTCTTCCAGGCTTGAAGCCCTCAGAATGCCCAGAAAATAAAACATAACTCTCAACTTAAGGTTGTACATCTTTTTTCAGTTGACAAAGATCACAGTCTGAGGTTCCCAGAAGGACATGAATTGTGGGGAACAGTATTCCACCAGCCCAGGAGACCCCTTGGAGGCTGGATCCCACCTCTTGGAATCTCAGAAAACTGTGACCAATCCAGGTCAAAGCACGGGATTGTTACCTGTACGTTACCACAAAGCATGAAGGATTCCCACCGCTCCCCTGCCCCTGCCCCTGACCCCTTAGGGGTTTATTTTAGGGGTTTACCTTTCTGCAAGGTTTCACATCAGTAGTGCCATTCAGCAGAAAAGAAAACTGTGGACTAAGCCCCAAATCTCAGAAGGATTTACCCAACCTGGGAAACAGGTGGAGGAAGAGTGGCCGTGTGCCCAGCCCCTCCACGGTGGAGGCCCTGAGAGCAGAGGTGGGTTCATCACCACGGGTCTCCTCCTACACCTCCTGGCCCTGCCCAAGCTGGCCCGCCCCAGGAGCCCTGGGGGCATGTCGCCCTAGTCACACTGCTGGAAGTAGAAGTCCGTGATGGGGCCGTCCAAGCTGGTGTCTTTCGGGAGCTGAGTGACCCGGAGAGGCTGGTCCACTTCGGGCATGGTGCAGAGAAACCAGCCCGGGTAGGCGGCCACCTCGAAGCTAGAGGTGAGCCCCGTGTCCCGCCGGTAGAAGGTGAATCTCTTGGCCTCCTCGGCACTGTGGTAGAGCTCCATGATGTTCACTGGCTGCAATCAAAGGGCACGGCAGGTGGCTGAGGGGTAGGGGCCGGCCCCAAGGCACAGGGAGGTGGAGCCATAATTAACAGAATCCCGGAGGGAGAGGAGCCCAGGAAGCCGTGGCATTGGCATCTTTGACTTAGTGAAGCCACGTGGTGAGGCGCCCCCAACAGGACCCACCTCTAGTTTCAGAGTCGGTTCCTGCTCCATCCCACACGACAGGCACTGGCTCCCACCCTGGACGCCCAGGATGACTGGAGAGAGCTTGGCATCCAGATACCGATTGGGGACCACGCTGATCTCCTCACCTAGAGGAAGGAAGCAGATGCAGGGACCTTGGCCGCCCTTCCCTCCCTCTGCCCCATCATGGGCTGTATCAGGCCTCCTGTCCCCAGGCTGGACAGAAGGGGAGCCTCATAACAGCTGTCATGTAGGGAAGGGGGGTCTCCTGCCAGCTGGTCCAGTGGAAGTCAAGGCAGATAGCACACGGTACCACCTCCCAACCCCACGCCCACTCCAGGGTCAAAAGGTCAAGTCTTCTCCAAGCCCCAAGGGAGACTGATCACCTCTTTTAATGCCCCTCGACCTTCCAGCCTCTTTTCTGTAACCTGTCTTGATAAGTCTCCCATTAGAGTTAGTTGGTATCTTTCCACCCCCTGTGTGATTCCTGAGAACAGAAAAGGGTCTCACTTTTCTCTGTAAAATCCCTCCATCTCACACACACACACACTCAGCCTCACAGAGGGCTCTGCCTGGCCCCAGTGCCCAGTAAGGCTGTTCTAGGCGAGTAGGTATGTGCCACTCTAGGGAGAAGGTCCTGTCACACTGTGTGGGGCTGTGTGAATGAGCACGAGGCCAGATGGCATCACCTGCTGCTCTAGGCCCCACCACTCTGAGTGACCGAGGACCCTCGGAGCACCGAGAGGACCAGGGGCAAAGGGGCGGAAACCCACTCCCACATGGGAGTGAGGGTGTAGAGAGTCTGCTTTAGGGCTCTCCGCAGCACTGGCTCCCAGAAAAAGGGATGTTGGGCCCCAGTCCACCTGCGAGGAAATGACAAAACAGCTATCTTGGAAAATAATCCCACCTTTGCGTAGAGGCTTCCGGTGGGACTGGGGCATGACGCCATGCCGGAAGGTGTGCTATTTTATTTGTCCTTGCTCAGAGCCTGGTTTTCTGACGCCCCGTCTACTGTGTCAGGCCCAGGGTCTGCTGGCTTGTGCCAATGTTTCTAAGCCCTCTTCAGGCCCCCTCCCCTCAGAGTATTTAGAAACCTAGGGAAGTAGGGTCCTCGTTTGCCACCAACCTTTAATGACCTTCCCTGCTTGCAGCGCTCCGGCTTGAAGCTGGTTATCACGCAGATAAAGCACCTTCAGTGCCGCATCCTTCATTCTAAAGCATCAGGACAGGATGACACTCAGGGCAGGTGGTGGGTGCTCCAGCTTGCCTGGGCTCTGAGAGTCCCCCAGTCTCAGGCACCGTCACCCTGTCTTCCCACTGAGCCAGAACCTTCTCTCCCAGCCCTGGGGGCTCACGCCTACCGCCAGGACAAGGCCACAGCCTCCCATCTGAGTCTGGGGTTTGCCCCTTCATCCTATTCAATCTGTTTTTTTTTGTTTTGTTTTGTTTTGCAGTACACGGGCCTCTCACCGTTGTGGCCTCTCCCGTTGCAGAGCGCAGGCTCCGGACGCGCAGGCTCAGCGGCCATGGCTCACGGGCCCAGCCGCTCTGCGGCATGTGGGATCTTCCCTGACCGGGGCACGAACCCGTGTCCCCTGCATCGGCAGGCGGACTCTCAACCACTGCGCCACCAGGTAAGCCCATCCTATTCAACCTTTTCTACGCTAACCAGACTCTTCCCGGTGTCATGTTGGAAAAGAAACTAAACTGAGTCAGAGTCCTGTGTTCTCATCCCGGCTCTGCCGCCATCACTGCTGAGTCACGACAGACAAGTTATTCACCCTCTCTGGGCCTGAGTCTCCTCATTGCTAAACTAAGAAGATGGGACAGATGCTGCCCAGGCCTCTTCAGGATAAAAATGCGCCTTGACTGACTTCCGCCTTTACTTCTGTTTGGTGCATTTACTTCTGCTTGGCCATACAGTCCCTACCACGTGAGGGATTTCTTTACATTTAAAATTCGTTCATTTTGCTTTTCAAATTTAATTCACACCTACAATCTCAGTTGATTTTCTGACATCCTGTGAGGCGAAAGCTGTACTCTAAAGGGGGTTCCTCCAGATGTGTACAAATTGGTTCAATGCTGTCTAAACACAATTAAACAAATCTCTACTTCAAAGTGACTAATATGCTGAAGTGTGCTATGGTCCTTTTTTAAGGGGACTTAGAAAGCATATTTCCCACATTTCCTGGACCGAGGAGCATCATTGTATAGAGACACTCGTAAGACTGGGGTTCCACAGAACGCACCTTGGGAAAAGCTATACTAGACTCCGAGTTCAGTGAGAGCAAGATTCTTCTCATTCACTGTTGCAAAAGTCCAGCTCATTGTAGAGCCCCTGGCTCAGCACATGCCAATGGACAGACAGGCTGACTGATAGAAGAGTTTTGCTGCTGCTGTCTTGTCCCAGAGGGCAGCCAGGAGGTAGTGGTTGGATTGACATCTCTTCACTGCAGTGGGTGGTAACAGCAGGGCTCTAAGCCGGGCCTCCTAACTCCCTAGAAGGGATGAGGCCACAAGCCCCTCTCATCAGGGAAGCCCCAGGAGAGGGCCTGCTCCCGTCTGAAGAGGCTGGAAGAACTCCTCTAAGGGCAGGGAGTTGCTGTTCACACCTTCCCAGCTGCCCATCCCACCTGTGGGACAATCACAGCGCCCTCCCCGGAAAGGCTGGACAACAGATCTACCCAGAATTCACTCCCCCGCAGAGGACATGACCCAAGCAGAGGCTCAGATACTCACCGGAAGCACAGCGCCCCACTCAGGACCATCTCGATCTTCTGTGTGTTGACACTCCTATTTTGAGATAACAGAAAATCTTAGGTGGAGATAGAGGCTGAGCCGGCAGGGGCCCCAGTAAGCAGCCCCCTGAGCGCCCCGGCATACGAACAGCCCCCAAGGATCAGGGGATTCTAGGTCTGGGGTTAGGAGAGGTGAAGCCCAGCTCCCCAGAGGACACCTCAGACTGCTCCTTTCTCTTGGCAGGACCCGAGGTGTCTGCCCGCTCCTCCGAGGTTGCCTCAGCCCTTTGAGTGACGCCCTAGGGTGGGGCCCCTGAAACTGCCTCAGCCTCCGGAGAAGGGGGGTTTCCAGAGTGATTTCACACCACCTGACGCTTCCAGAAACACCTGATGCTCATTATCTCTCTCAGGGACGGAAGCTGCTGGAGACAGTCTTCTTCTAGCAATTCTGAAGAACTTCCAGGGGCTTTGCAGCCCTTAGTGAGCACTCAGCTCCTGGACATGTGGCCCTTCCAGACCCAGGGGTATCATGCAGAGAACAGCTCAAGGAAAGCAGATTGTAGAACAACCCCCTTTCCTCCTTCCTCCCTCCCCTCCTTCCTTCTCTCCCCCTTTTGTTCCCTCCCTCCTTCCTTTCCCTCTTTCCTTTCTTCTTTTCTCCCTCCCTCTCTTCCTTCCTTCCTTCTTTCCTTCCTTTCTGCCTTTGCCAGGACTACGGGAAATGCTGGAGGTGGAGCTCTCCTGCTTAGGGGATGTTAAGTCTATGTATTCATTGTAGATTAACCTGAAAATCCGTATTGACAAAACAAAACAAAACACATGGATACTAATCTCCAGTGTGTGCGTCATCAGCAAACCAAGGACAACAGTTTTTCCTCTGCACCTACACGCCTGTAACCATCACAGCTTTACACACGACTGCATCCCAGAACCTACACTCATTCCAGCACGCTTTTTTCATGTAGCAAGATAGCAGAATCTCTTTCCATACCCAGTATAATGATATCAGAATATTGAATAGCCATATAGTATTTCATTCTACAAATGCAACATCATTTATTTATACCGATCTGTTATTATTAGTCCTTGTTATTATTATTATGTGTCATTGAAATCATGTTGTGACAAACTTCTTTGCTCAGGTGTCTGATTATATCCCTTGGAAATAAAACCTAGCTTGGGCCATCTATGATTGATCTTTCTTCAGTACCTAACTGGTAAAATAACATGTGACTGTGTAACGATGCATGTGGTTTTAATCCGTCCATACACTCTCTGTGATGGATCTAAATGAAAGGTAAGGGTCAGTGCATAATGACAATTTAATTTTGTCTTGAGCACCACGGATAACCATTTATTGCTAAGGCATACCTTTTTTTTTTTTTTTCACCGCCGTGGCCTCTCCCGTTGCGGAGCACAGGCTCCGGATGCGCAGGCTCAGCGGCCATGGCTCACGGGCCCAGCCACTCCACGGCATGTGGGATCTTGCCAGACTGGGGCACGAACTCGTGTCCCCTGCATCGGCAGGCGGACTCTCAACCACTGCGCCACCAGGGAAGCCCTAAGGCATACCTTTTAAAGAAACTGTATTCAGGCTCATGGGCTAAAATGTCCTTAAAGTGTTCAAAAATAAATAAAATATCAAGTTGTTCAAAGGATAGAAAAATAACTCAACACTCATAATGCCACTAATGTGATAAACACCTTTCAGAAAATGTAGAGGCTTATGCAAAATTGTTGAATTGGCCATAAATTGACCAAACAAAAATAACACTATTTGTGCAAATACTTGCAAAAAAGAACAAAAGAAAAAAGAAACTCCAGAAGGAGTTGGCCATTAGGCAAAGTGGCTTTTAAGCAAACAGGCTTTCATTTACAAAGTGATAATAGAGAAGAAGATTTTGTTTCCCCTAAAAAGGTAAAATGTCATCTGCCCTTGTTGCCCTCTCTGATTTCCTAACCCCAGTGAATTGCACCCCAGGACACTGCCGTGGAGCTTCATCAAGCGCTTTCCTCATTCTGCTAATAAAGAATGAAGCCAGTACGTGGCTGCCCACCCCCGGGATGCCGAGGATTCAGGGGGATGTCTCCGCCAGCTCGGTCTACTCCACCATGTGCATAACAGGGGATGGATACAGAGCGGATGGACGGGACAACAAATGGATGAGCCAGGAAGGTGAAAGTACGAAAAATAAAACAAACCCCTGTTAAGAAAATTTCTCCAAACTTGAAAATAAAACACAATGATGACATCATGTGCTCTCAGTGTCATACTGGAGCATCCTCAAACAGTCCCACCAACAATTGCTCAGTTCCCTGGGGAACATCTGTCTTTGTTTGACCTAATTACCATGGATTAGCTATCAAACTCTGTGAAGTTAGATGTGAACTAAGAGAAGATTGATAAATTTCAAATGATTCCTGCTTAATAGAAAAGATAACCCCAAAGGGTACAGTTGGATTGCCTTGCAATTCATTAAGCGGTTTTTTTTTTTTTTATCTAAGCCAATCTACTCCACAATTTCTTTCCTGACTGATCATATAAGCCTCTGTTCCTTAACTTATCTTTTGAATTAACTTTATCATCCTGCCAGTTCCTTCATTTATTAATAAAGATAAATCTTTTGTGTGTGTGTGTGTGTGTGTGTTACGCGGGCCTCTCACTGTTGTGGCCTTTCCCGTTGCGGAGCACAGGCTCCGGACGTACAGGCTCAGCGGCCATGGCTCACGGGCCCAGCCGCTCCGCGGCATGTGGGATCTTCCCGGACCAGGGCACGAACCCGTGTCCCCTGCATCGGCAGGCGGACTCTCAACCACCGCGCCACCAGGGAAGCCCCAAGATAAATCTTTGACACATGCTCACTATGTGTTTGTATGAGAGTCGTGTTTTGGGTTTTTTGAAAATGAAACTGGCGTTAGCTAAAACAACGTTATTTTGCCCCAGACTCACACACCATGTGTGGTGGCTTTAAGATATGTTCACAGATTCTTTGATACTCCACCCTTTAAGAGGTGGAGCTTCATCCTCCTTCCTTTGAGCGTGGCTGGACTTAGTGACTTGTTTCTAAAGAATACACTATATGGTGGAAGTGGTAGCATGCCACTTCTGAGGCTAGATGGTAGAAGGCATTGCAGCTTCCCCCTGGACCTTTCCTGAACCACTCACCTGGGAGAAGCCAGCTACCGTGTCACAAGCAGCCTGCAGAGAGGCCCACGTGGTGAGGAGCTCAGACCTCTAACCAACAGCTCACTCGCAAACCTACCAGCCCCATTAGAGCCATCAGATGATGCAACCCTGTCTGACATCATGACTGCAACTTCATGAGAAACCCTGAGTCAGACCACCCAGCTAACGCCACTTTTCAGATTCCCGATTCTGAGAATCTATATGAAATAATAAATGTTTGTTGTTTGAAGCTGCTAAGTTTGGGGATCATCTCTTACACAGCAGTAGGTAACTGATACACCTTGTCATCACGACTGGCAGTTTCTGTTTCTGTTGTTCCTGTTGTTTTTTCATTCTCCAGTCTTCAGTGAGTATCCTCCCTTCTTAGGAAACAGCTCAATACTTCACAGATTTTATAGGACCATGGAGATGCCCAGATGCTGTCCCATCCTGCAGAGGGGTAATGTTACCGCAGGTGACTTCCCACCACCCTTGAGCAGCAATGCCCTGGAGGTAGGTGTGGCTCCTGCCCTTGACAGAGAGATGAGGATTCAAACAACACGTGTACACACCTGTATCAGTATGTAAGCACACATTCACAAAAAGTTTATTATAGTAAAATGGTAGTTTTTTATTAAGAAGATAAATTTAACAATAATTAAAATAAACAGTATTCATTTGGTCTTCATTATGTCCCCAGAACAATGTTTAATGATTGACCTGAATTTTCTCATTTTGTGCTCAGAACTGCCCTGTGTGGTAAATACCATTATTATGTCTCATTCATGGATGTGGAAACCAAGCATAGAAAGATTAACTGTGTCCTGATATTGGACCTGCAATTTGTATTAGAGTCAGAACCAAACCCAGGAAACCCGAGTCCAAAGCTATTGACCCCAAGACACAACGCACGAGTGAGAGTGATGGTTTCACAATCTGAGTCCAATCCCATCAGCCCCCTGTTCCCCATGTCTCTGGGAGTAAAAGGCAAGTCTTCACCGTACTTCCAGATCAGGCTCTCACTAACTGCTGATCTCATCCTTTCACCACCTCAAGCCACATGAAACTCTTGCTCTTTCTTGAACAAGTGAGGCATGCTCTTGCCTCGGGGCCTTTGCACTGGCTGTTCTCTCAGCCTGGAAAGCCCTTCTCCAAGATATCAGCATGGCTCACTCCCTTACTCCTTAAAGGCTTTGCTGAATTGTCACCTTCTCAATGAGACCTACATTCATCATCCTATGCTGCTCTCTCCTGTTCCCACATTCCCCTTTCCACGCTCCATTTCTTTGCAAAGCACTCACCATTCGTAAGCACACTGAATAATTCAGGTGTGTATTATGTGTATTATTTATCAGCTCCCCTGCCAATCCTGCTGGAAGATAAGCTCATTCAAATGCAGGTGTTTTCTGTTTGTTCATTGGCATATTCTAGGCACTTAAGGTGGTGCCTAGTATACAGTAAGCCTTCAATTAATAATGTTGCGATGACATCGAATGGATTACAGGCTGTGTCATGTAGAAAAGGCCAGAGACTTGTCTAACATTTTGTTCACAATTACGATTTTATTTCTCAGAGTTTTGATGTTTCTGGCCCCTCATTCTCTTGATGTAGCAGTTAAGACCACAGGTGGACAAACTTTGGCCCGTGGGCTAAGATGGGCCCACTGTTTGTTTTATTGGAACACAGCCTTACCCATTTGTGAACACAGCCTTACCCATTTGTGAACACAGCCTATGAATGCTTCTGTACTACAATGACAACAATGAATATTTGTGACAGAAACCGCAGCGTTTGCAAAACCTAAGATATTTAGTACCTGGCCCTCTAGAGAAAAATTTGCTGAACTCTGGTCAAGACTGTCTGGATTCAAGTCCTAAATCTGTCACTTGGGGCTTCCCTGGTGGCGCAGTGGTTAAGAATCCACCTGCCAATGCAGGGGACACGGGTTCGAGCTCTGGTCCAGGAAGATCCCACATGCCGTGGAGCAATTAAGCCCGTGCACCACAACTACTGAGCCTGTGCTCTGGAGCCCACGAGCCACAACTACTGAGCCCGAGTGCCACAACTACTGAAGCCCATGCACCTAGAGCCCATACTCCACAACAAGAGA